CCCTTGCACTTGCCAGGGAAGCGCTTATTCCACTGAGGCATCTCCCCAGCCCCTCTACTTTCAAATTATATCATTATTTCATGTATAGTATAAGACTCTATAATAATGTATTTTCATTTTTCCATTGTCCTTCATAGTGGTGTCATGTAATTTACAAAAAATACATAATATGTTATTATTTTGGTTTAAGCAGTTAATTATTACTTAAAGATATTCAACTGAGAAAAAAATATATAAAACTATAGTATTATTTTCCTCTGCTGGAAGGATAGCTTTTTTTTTTTGTGGAACCGGGGATTGAACTCAGACCCTTGTGCTTGGCAGGGAAGCGCTTATTCCACTGAGCCATCTGCCCGGCCATGGAAGAATAGCTTTTAACATTTCTTATAATTGTGGAGCTACTGGATATGAGTGTTTTTCAGCTTTTGTATGTCTGACTTATTTAATCATTTTTTATTGTTCATTTACTTATGTGCCTTTTATTTGTTTTGTGTGTGGTGCTGAGGACTGAACCCAGGGCTTCCAGCTTGCTACGCAAGTGTTCTACTGCTGAGCCAAATCATTAGCCCCTTATGTGCTTTTTAAAAAATTGTGTCACATAAATGTACATATGAATTTTATTAAAAGCTACTAAATTCAAGATTTATTAAAGGTCATCAAGACTGGGCACGGTGGTGCACGCCTGTAATCCCAGCGCTGGGAAGACTAAAAATGAGAGGATCACTACAAATCCGAGTTGTTATTTATATATGATAACAAATAATGATAATAATAAAGATTTATTAAAGGTAAAACTTACGCATCTTAGCCATATGTAAGTGGCGATGAAGCTGCTCTCTAGAGCTTACACATGTGAAGCACAACCCTGTTGAACAGCTCTTGTTCTGACTACTGTTCCTGGTCATCAACATTCTACTTTCTGTTTCTATGAATTTTACCACCATAAGCCTTCATATTGAATGGCATCTCACATTGTCTTTTTGTGACTGGCTTTTCTTACTTAGTGTAATATTTTTATGGTTTGTGCATGTTGTTGGATTTGACAGGATTTTCTCCTTTTTTTAAGACTTGTGATAGCCCACTGTATCTGTAGACCACATTTTATTTTATCTATTCTTTTGTCAGTGCGTATTTAAGTTGCTCCTACCTCTTAGCTACCATGAATTAGTGCTTTTATAAAATAGAAGTACAGATGTCTTTTGTGAGATCTTTTTAATTCTTTAATTCTCTTGGATATGTACACAAAATTTAATTTGTGGATCATTTTGTAGCTGTGTTTTAAGTTTTAAAACCACCTCCATATGGTTTTCGAGAGTGAAACACCACTTTATAATCTCATCAGGGTTCCAGTTACTCATGTTTGATAGGCATGAGGTGTCATTTTATTGTAGGTTTGGTTTGTATTGCCTTGGTAATTAGTGATGCTGAGCATGATTTTATATGCATATTGGCCAATTTGTGTGTCATCTTTGGTGCTTTGCCTATGCCTATGTGAGTGTTCTACCCGTTTTTAAACTGATCTGTGTGTGTGTGTGTGTGTGTGTGTGTGTGTGTGTGTGACTGGTTTTATATTCCCCTGCCCCCGTGGTTCATTTAGGTAGTTTCTCTGTATGTTTTCACACTTGCTTCTGTAACATGTAATCAGCTGGTAATTATAAATAGCAGTGATGGTGACCCTTATAGATACCAAGTACCCAAACTGCAACCCAAACCCAGTTTATTTATCCCAAAGTGACAACACTGCAATTAAACCTGTATACTGAGGTTTTAGTTTAGAGAAAACAACGCAATATACATTAGTGTCTTTTGTCTTAAAAGAAAAACACAGTAACATTTGTGCCATAGGTTCACACCAGTGATATATTTCAGTGTATTTTCATCTCAGGAAGTTTATTTTTCATCTATACAAGTTTCACTTCAGTATCCCCCGCCCCCGTATTAGTGATTGAACTCAGTCTTTGAACTGAGCTACAGCCATAGCTCTTTATGTTTTAGTTTGAGCCAAGGTCCCCCTAAGTCTACTACTTGGCTTCCTGACTGGGCTCAAACTTGGAACCCTCCTGCCTCAGCCTTTCAAAGTTCTGGGATTATAGGCATGTGCCACCACTTACCTGGCAGAATATATAGTTTTAATAATTCTTTTATTGTTCTTCTTTCCTAATTCTACAGCAGCAGTGTCAGGTCTAGTCAATTCTTTTGATTGAAGAATCGCTCCATTTTGAGTTGTTTTGCTGCCTCTTTGTATGCCTAGTAATCATGGACTGGATGTCAGACATTATGAATTTTACTTTGTTGGTTACTGAATGAGTTAGCTTTCTGTTACTATCGCAGATATCTAAGATAATAACTTACAAAGAGAAAAAGTTTATTTTGCCTTGTGGCTTCAGAGGTTCTGGTCCGTGACTGCAGGGAACGGGCACTATCTCCTGTGTTGTACACATGCGAGGCAGTGTTCTCTTAGTACATTGGCCATTATTTCATGGGCTCAGGTCATTTCCGTGACCTGCGTCTATGTGCAGCAGCCAGTACTTTGCTTTATACCAGGAGGAAGCTGTCCATTCCTGGGGTTTTCACTCCCTTTTGGTATTCTGTGTAGTAACTGTAACTGCCCTTCTCTATGCACTCAGCTCTAGCTCCACAGCTCAGGGAGTCCACAGGCTGCATTGGAATTGTGCCCTGTGCCATTCCCTGGAAGCGTTCAAGGCAGTGTGTCTGGCAACTCCAGGGCTGGCTTTGTTTCACATCTGTCAGGAACCATTATTTTCTGTTGGCTGATGTCTAACGTCTTTTTTTTTTTTTTTTTTTTTGAGGAATTGGGGATTGAACTCAGGCCCTTGTGCTTGCCAGGGAAGTACTTTTTCTACTGAGCCATCTCCGTGGCCTGTCTAATGTCTTGAAAACCATTGTTCCTTGTATTTTGTTCAATTTACTTTATTACTTTTTCAGTTTCTTTGGTTCTTCAGGGAGGGAGGGCAAATCTGGTTCCTGTTACTCTATTTTTGGCCATAACCCAAGTCCTGACTCTTGAGTTAAGGTACTTAGAAAAAATTTACTCCCATTCCACTTTGAGAGGCGATTTAGATGACCACAGGGGACATTCCAATTAGCCAGCAGGAACTTTTGAAGATACTCAGGTACTAATTTCTTAGCCCACTTATTTCTGGGAATTTCTTGATGTATTTGGATGCAGAAGCTAATTTTGACTAACAACTTTATGAAATTCTTGATCATGTTATGATTTTATTCTCAGAATTAAGAAAAAGAAAGAACAACATTACATTGAAGAGCAGAGGATACTAAGACTGACTTCCCATGAAGCACCATTTTCAGAGCAGGAAATGAGTGACAGTTTAGGCCAGTTGCAACTTGAAGGTGCCAGAGAAAAGCAGCAACGGAGGGAAAAAGAGTATGCAAGGTAACGCTAAAGGTTCTGTATGAAGTTCTGGCTCTTAAGGAATCTCAATAGGAAGTTGATGTTCTCATTTCCTTGAAAAGGGTTTCTTACACTGTTCCTCACTCAAGGGTATATAACATCACTAGGTATCTTGAAATAGCATGGCATTTTTCCTAGTGCTGTTTCTCAATGTACAGAGGAGAGATCAAGGTCCAAAGATATGAAATAGCTTTTACAGTTAAAGCAGGTTGTTAAATCAGGACTCGCGTTTACTGTTTTCCTAGAATTTCACTTTGCCTCGTCATTGCTGTATTTTATAGATATGTAGAAGCCTTACGTGCCCAGGTCCAGGAGAAAATGAAGCTGTATAATATCACTTTGCCTCCACTGTGCTTTTGTGGTCCTGATTTTTGGGATGCTCACCCTGATACCTGTGCCAACAATTGTATTTTCTATAAAAACCATAGAGGTAAGTTTCTTGAAGGAATAGTTGGGGCCTAATAGCAATTTTTTTTTTTTAAAAAAAAAAGCAATATAAACACAAATATTGATAATGGGGATCTGCTATTTATTGAGTGCTTACTGTATATGAAAGAGTATCCTAACACCTTTACCAGACAACTCTGCAGTGATGAAAATAATTATAGTGACTTTTATGTCTTTTTGAGATCTACTCTGCTACCTTTTATCTTTATTTATGGTGAGGAAACACTTTCCCCTTCTTCTACTCTAAGGTCTCCCTTTAACTGGAGACACACAGTTTGCCTTGTATAGCTGTATAAGTAGAGGTCTGACCGTCTGAATCCTCTGCAGTGCATGTACTTAATGGTGGGTATCTAGTACAGACTGCTACATGTGTCTTCATATCAGGCTGCCATTTCTACCAGGAGACACTGAGGGAAACGTGGCCCTCTATCAGGAGTCCTAGTCAGATAAAATGAAGTCCTTCCCATTGTCACTAATGTTTGTGTTTCCTGCCCACTCTTAAGTACACTGACTTGTATAGTATAAAGATTATGTACGACTCTGCTACACATTAAAGATTCTGCCAGTACAGTGCTTGTATTCAGGGCCTCTGTCATCTAAGTAGTGAGTTTCTTATCAGGGCTGTGTGTTACATTTTTAAAAACACATATATGATCATTTATTCTCCTATTCTAAAATCTCTAGGAATCCCTGTGACAGTACAAAATACATGGCATATTTTCTGTCTACCTGCAGTCCACCCTCTACCTGCTATTTCTAAGCAGTGTGCTATTTTGAGTACCACACACTGCCTTTACTTTTCCTAATCTTTTCAGACCACCTTAGATGATACTACTTCTGGAAGTCTTTTCAATCCCCTCTAGAAGGTTATTCATTTATTTCTAACTTGATTCTGTGATGACACATTGTAAATGCCTCTGGTCGGCAAGTATTACACTGCAGTTTGTTTTTTGTGTCTATCCTCTCGAGCCTGTTTTCTATTTAAGTACTCAATAACCATTTATTCGATGGTTAAAGTTAATGCCTATGGGACTCTGGGTAGAGAAATAGTACTAGTGGGAAGGTGGGTAAGAGGGGCTCAAAAATTCCTCTTTATTTGTCACTGTGGACACCTTTATTTTGCAGCATATAATCGAGCACTGTATTCAGTCATCAGTTCCTCTGATGTCTCTGAGGGACATTCAACTCTTCGAAACGCCATTCATAATTTTGCTTCTGCACACAGATGGATTTTGAAAAACATGTAAGGAGATTTCAGAAATCAGCTCAATCAACTGGTACTTCAGTGTTCATTTTTAAATCAACTCTGGGAAATTATTTAGGAAAACCTGTTAAAGCATATCAGCTGTATTAGCTAGAAAAAAAAAAAAATGCTAGTCCACATAATTATCTCTGTAATTAGAATTCTGCCTTGAGACCAAGATTGAAAGTTGACTTCCAAAACTTGTTTCTTCTTTGTTGTGAATCATAGTCTGTTATTTTAAAACTGATCAGACAGGTAAGGTTTGTTATAGTTTGTTTTGCTCTGATCACATGAGCTCATGAGGAATCTGTGAGCTGATCTCACTACCATCTTTCTAACCTGGCATTCTTGAGTCCTAACACTATTGAACGTCTTTAGATAAAGCAAAAGGGAAGGTGATAAAATGGCTTTCTGAGCACCAGTGGCCACCTATATTGCCATTAGCTTTTCTAGCTATGTATAATAGTTAAAGATGAGGAGAATCTGAATTTGATACATGTTTTCTGGGGGCTGGGGAGATGGTTCAGTGGAATAAGCATTTGCCTGGCTAGTGCAGGGGCCTGAGTTCAATCCCTGATTCTGCCAGAAAAAAAAAACAAAAAAACAATGATACATATTTTCTTCTCAAAATTTTGTCTCTCCTGGATTTTTTTTTTAAATTTATTTATTGACTCCTTTCTTCATTGATAGTGGACATAAGTTTTTATTTTAGGTTTATATTTTTTTATTGCAAAAAGTCACATAACCCCTCTATCTTTTGAATATCTTCATTTTAAAATAATTATGAGTGACATTTCAAAATGTGAACATGGGCTGGCCAGATAGCTCCGCGGACTAAAGCGCCTGCTTAGGCAGAGCGCAGCGGCTGCCGTGCCGTGCTGTGTACCCACCCCCCAGCCCCCTGCACGCTGAGTTGGCAGTTGACACTATGGTGGCGCACACCCATAATCCCAGCGCTTGGGAGGCTGAAAACAGGAGAATCACTACGAGTCCGATCTACATACTGAGACCCTGGAGACCCTGTACCAAATACATACAGGAAAAAAAATGTGAACCTGAAGTCAAAGTGAATTAAATTCTCTGTTTCTCTGTATTTAAAAAAACCTGGTCAATGACATGCCTAGAATAAATGACATAAAAATTGTGAGAGTTGGTGTGAATGTGTTAGTTTTTCACACTATTTCTGATGCAAAATGTAAAAAAGTCTAACACGATGAGTCGAAGTCGTCCACTGGCACTGTTTTCTCTCTGTCGTTGCGCGGCTGAGGACGCGCTGCCTTGGTCGTGGCTCCAGAAGTGCCTGAGCGAGGCAGCTGCAGAAAGAACGCCGAGCCGGGTTGCTCTCATGGTAGTATTCACTTCTTATTTCACTGGCTTATTTAGCGCAGTCAAAAATCTTTGAAGTAATTATGTACTTAATTCAACCTTGAAAGTTGTACCTTTGTGCTCTATTGCGTTGCGATTCCCATAGCATAAACAGTTCACCCCTTTAAAGTGTATAGTTCAGTGATTTTAATGCATCCACAGGGTTGTGCAACCATTATTACCATTAAATATTAGAACATTTTCTGGACTAAAAAGAAGCTCCAGTGACCTAAGAGTCCCTCTTCAGGGTATATATATAGCTAAAAGAAGTGAAAGTAAGATTTGAAACCAGTATTCATACACTCATTCATGGTAGCATTTTTTCACAATAGCAAGGAGTGGAAGCAGTCCAAGGGTCCATCAATGAATGAACGGTTAAACTGTGGGATATACTTAGAAGAGTATTCAGGCTTTAACAGGAAGGAAATTATGTCACAAAGGGCGATATTATGTTAAATGGACTCAGGCGGTCACAAAAGACAGATACTACATAATTCCACTCAAATGAGTTCCCTAAAATAGTGAAATTCATAGAGACAGAAAGTCTCTGGTGGTTAGCAAAAGCTGGAGTTAAAAGGAAATGATATATCATTTAATGGTGTAGCATTTTTTTCAGTTTGGAAACAGATACTTTATTGACTGACCAAATCATAAAAGCACCATGGTAGGTACCTTAGTTCATCCTTCTAATAAACCTGTTGATCGGGTCTTCCCTATTTCTAGCATCTCCACCTTCTACAAAATGGGTGGTCTTTTTCTTCATTCCACCTCAAGGAGATGATAACTTGATCGGCCACAGGAAGTTATTTGCCTCTTTGAAGCGTTTTCAAACAGTAGAGGGGGCCTGACCCTAGCTCAGTTCTTTAAGTGACTGCTTCCACAAAGCTGTCAGCCTCAGGTTGCTGTAGTTCCATCCTCACAACACTTCAGCCGGCCAAGAGTGCCCTGAAGGCATTCGAGGAGAAAAAAAAAACAGTAGAACTCATGAATCAGATCCTCTATGCAGATGAATTCTGTATCTACCAAGAGATTGAGCAATCAATGAATTATCTATGAAGGCAATTTGCTTCTTACTGATTTTGCCATAGCCATGCTTGTATATTCATTCACTGACTTCAGGTTTGGGTACCCCATGCAATGCATGGCTCCACAATTCTCAACATGTTAATTGAAGCCTTGTTGAGCTTAAAGAAGGTACCAAGGAGGATTTGGTGAAGGCAAAGAAGCTGTAACACCTTGGCAACCTTTGGGCTCACACCATTGATACCCCTGATCTGGATGACAAATGCCAGTTTGGGCTCTGCAGGGACACAGAAGTTGCCAGCTTTTCTCGCCATCCTAGCCATTTGGATCTCAGTGCTGTACATCTGTCTATACTCCTTATGTTAGTGCCTGGCTTTTTTATAGATGAGCTTCCTCCTTGCTTTGTGAAGCATCTTCTGGGCACACTTCTTTCTCAGGTGCTTTATCTTCAACTCTGCAAAATGTCTTCGCTTTTTTTTTTTTAAAGCATTTCTGGCACAGCAGGAACCTTGGTTTTCTTCTACACCCTCCATGGTTCCAGCCAAAAAAGAGCAGCATTTCATTTTTTATTCATTTATTTACTTTGTTGGGGTTTTTTAAAATTTTTTTTATTTTTTTGTTCACTGTGTCAAAACCAAGAAACTTATATTCATATAATAGAATTTTCAAAGTAGAAAGGAATAGGCAATAAAGATTTAAAATTTCTGAATTTAGTTCAACTTATAATACTGCATTTCCAAGAAAAATGAACCTTTTGCACAAGAAATTTAAAATCATACCAAGATACACAAAAATGAAATCATCCAAACTTATTGTAAAAAAAATCATTAAAGCATATACATAAAAAATATTAGCTATGGAAGAACAAAATTAAATAGCGTCTTACTCCACCCTAGAAAGAAAAAAAGGACCAAGTGTGTAAGAAACTAGACTAATTACAGGACTGAAAGAAAAGATCTGTCCTCTTTGAATTTTATACTTAGGAAACATACCTTTGAAAACTAAAAGTAAGATTTTCTAGTTATACAAACTTGAAATATTTTAATACCTCCAGAAGTAGTATATAGGAATAAAAAGCATAATTCAAAAGGCAAGAGAAGTTGCAGTGTGCTCCTGGATGAACAATAAAGAGCTCTCAATATGATAGTTATGCAGGGCTGTATAAAATATATTAGATGAACTGTTATTTAAAGGTCTTGAAGGGGCCAGGGAGATGGCTCAGTAGGATAAGCGCTTGACTGGCAAATGCAAGGATCTGAGTTCAATCCCTGGTTCCGCCAAAAAATAAATAAATAAATAAATAAAAAATAAAGGTCTTGAAGATTCCTATGAAGCAGTACCAGTCTTATGTTGGGTTATGCACTTTTTTTTCCATATATATGTGTGTGTATGTGTATAAAAGACAGGGAAGAAGTAATATGAAGTCAACAGAAAATGGAAATATACTTTTTAAAGTTTCTAATACTAGGAGAAGACATCATATGATGTCTTTTAAATAAATTGTAAGTCAAAGATATATTATAAATCTTAGAACAAAAATTAA